TTAAGATTTAGCAAATATTCATAACCCACTTCAATCTAATGTATGAAATATGATATGTCAAGAGCTTTGTAATGTTGTGAACAACCAATTAAAAAAATAAAAAATTAAAAAATTAAAAAATAAAAAAAAAGATTTAGCAAATAGACATACATGACAGCTAATTAATTTGAGTTGCAAATATACATTTTTAAAAAAATAAGTCCCACATATTGCAACTATATCCTGTGCAACATTTAAGACATATTTGTACTAGAAGTATTCATTCACATATCTGAAATGCAAATGTGACTGAGTCTCCACTATTTTATCTGACAGTCCCAAGTTCAGGAAAACCCTAAGGATTAACTTACCAGAGGTAAGAAGAAACATATGGTCCACTGAATGAGGAAAGATGGAACATTTGATCAAATAAGCAGAAGCCAATTGAAGCAAGACTCAGGTGAAGTTAAGTATACATGGACATGCGTGAATACTGAAGATAACCAAAGTTCTAGGAAGATGACTATGAGGGATTATATTCTACATTCTGCCATTTGGTATGTGGGTAACAGCCCACCTGGGTCACAAGGTATGAGGTTCCTTAGCCTTAGGTTAACTATACTTAAAGTAGAAATAGTAAGCAGAATGCTTTGTCTCTGTTACCACAAAATTGTCTAATGAAAATAGATATGATTAAAAAAAGAAGAAGAAGAAAGGTAGGTGTTCACCTCTTCCCTCCTGTCCCTTGCTCCACTCTCTCCAGGTGGTTGTCCTGATCCCGAGGCCCACAATGACTCATCACCATGTCCTCACTAAGTAGTCCTTTAAGATCATGTCAAGAAATCGTGCACACGTTTCACTGGTCAGAACCTCGACATGGGGCCACTCTCAGCTGCACAAAAGGATGGGAAATGCTGTCTTTCTTCCCTGCAGTCAGATGCCCAGTATAAATCAGGGGTCCTATTTCTAAAAAGCTTGATTTTCAGGCATCTTTATTTTAAGGATTCTCCCATGTTTTCTTTCTTTTTTAAGCTCTCTTGTTGGTGCATCATAATTCCACATAGTAGTGGAAGTCATTGTCTCGTATTTGTACATGCACACACACAGCAATATAATTTGGTGAGTTTTAGTCCCCGGTGTCTTTCCTTCCCCTCTTCTCTCCCCCCCGGTCCCCTTCATCTATTCTACTGGTCTTCCTTCTATTTTCATGAGATTCCTCCCATGACTAACTTTATTTTCCCTAACTTCCACCTATGAGAGAAGACACAACCCTTGACTTTCTGAATTTGGCTTATTTCACTTAACAAGATGCACTCGATTTTCATCCATTTACCTGCAAAGGACACAATTTCTTTCTGTTTTAGAATGGAATAAAACTCTATTGTGTATTCATACCACCTTTCCTTATCCGTTCATCCGTTGATGTGCATGCAGGATGGCTCCATAGCTCACCTACTGTGAGTTGTGCTGCTATACACATGATAGATATGCACGTATCTCTATAGTGCGATGCCATGGATTCTTTAGGATAAGTTCCAAGGATCAGCATAGCTGGGTCACAAGGTGATTTCATGCCTTTTGAGGAACCCCCATACTGATTTCCATAATGGTTGTACTAATTCACATTCCCACCAAGAATGTGTAAGTGCCCCTTTCCCCACATCCTCTCCAGCATTTATTAATATTTTAATTCTCAATAGCTGCCATTCAAATTGGCACGAGAGGAAATTTCAGTGTCGTTTTGATTTGCATTTTCCTGATTACTAAATATGTTGAGTGTTTTTTCATATATTTGGACACAACCCATTTTTAAGATTTTTTTTACTTATGGAAGAAGTTCTTTGAACTAGCAAAATAAGTTCTCTGTAGTTTGGATTGCTATGAATATGTCGTGATCATAGATCCTAAAACAAACCCAAGAGACAACAGGTGCCGTGGCACACATCTATAATCCCAGAAACTTGGGAGGCTGAGGCAGAAGGATCTCAAGTTTGAGGATGGCCTCAGCAACGTAGAAAGACCCTGTCTCAAACTAAAAATTAAAAGGGCTGAGGATGTAGCTCTGTGGTAGAGCAGCCCAAGGTTCAATTACCAGTACTGCAAAAACCAAAAAGGCAAACAAAACAAATAGACCTATGAGATCATTTAGTGTGGATCCTACTTTCAGTATGAAAGATGGAATCAGATTTTACCAGCTATCTCACTGGGAGGGTCTGTGATTTTTGTCCCTCGCTCCACCCATCTCTGCAAATTCATGTTGAAAACTAACTACCAGAGTGATGGTATTAGGAGGTGTGGTCATAGGACCACAAATAGGGTCACATGGCTAGTGCCTTCAGGAAGAGGGATGTGCCCCATAACACAGGCCCAAGGAAGCCCTTTTGACCTCCTACCACACAGGACATAGTGAGAAGACACCATCCGTAAGGAGCTGATCCTCACAGACACGAAATCTGGTAGCCCCTTAATCATGGATTTCCCTGCCTCCAGAGCTGTGAGGAAGAAGCATTTGCTGTACCACCAGCTTATATTTTTGTTATGACATCCTGAACAGATCAAGATGGAAAACTGGCACCAAGAAGCGGAGATGCTGCTGTATTAAAAAATACCTAAAAATGTAGGAGCAGCGTTAGAAGTGGCTAATGGGTAGTGGCTGGAAGAGTTTTGAGGTGCACGTTATATAAAGCCTGCATTGCTGCCAATAGACCTTTCAGGGCAATTATGGGCCCAGGAAGAAGACAAAGAGAATCTGCAGAGAAAGCCTGAATTTTCTTAGAGAATACATAAGTGGCAGTGAATGAAATGGAAATAGAAATGTGTGCAGTAAAGGTCATTCTGGTGAGATCTCCTACAGAAAGGAGGGACATGATATTGGACAGAAGAGGAAAGATAATCCTAGTTATGAAATGGCAATGAACGGAATTGCCTTCTGTCCTGCTGTTTTATGGAAGGTGGAACTTGATGAGTGATGTGGTTGGAGATCTATCCAAAGCTGTTTCTAAGAAAAAGTGTTGAAGGTGTCACTTGGCTTCTCTCAAGTGCTTTCAGTAAAATGCAAAAATAGAGAAACAAAAAACAGAATTGCTCATCGAAAGAGAAATAGAACATAAAAGTGTGGGTTCTCAGCCAATCCACATTGGGGAAAAAAAAATGAGAAGGCCTGTTTGGGAGAGAACCAGGGTATGCCAAGGACCTTGTCATGAGGTTGGTGTGGAAGGCCATCTCGGGAAGCCAGGTGCTGTTCACGAGGATAATGGAAGAATGACCCCAAAGGGGAATCATGGGTCTATGGCTACCATCAGATGCCAACAGTGCCAGGGCCAGGGGCACACCAACTCCAGGCTTTGTTCTCCCAGGAGGCTGTGCTCCTGGGACAGAGTCAGCTCTGGCAGCCCAGGTGCTATGTGAGTAGTAATGGCTGCCACTCTTCACCACCCTCAAGGTACAGGCATTAAATCTTGTTGTCCATGGGACGCCATCTCTGCTGGCCCCCCAAGGTTTGGGATGTGGCTGCCTCCACTATAGTTCAAAGGATGCCCCATTGCAGGGACAGAGACCCTGCAGAGAGCCCCCCTAGGGTGATGCCCAATGCAGCCAGGGGTATGGGGACACCTCTGAGATCCCAGACCAGCAGAGCCACCAGCATGAGAGTCCAGACTTGGTACAAGGGCTGTGGTGGGGTCAAGACCTCCAAAGCCATGAGAACAAGTCTGCCAAGAGTCTTGGGGGCCCAATCCCTGCCCGGCAATGCTACCAAGGGAAGACCTCCGCCCCCGTGGCTTGGAGGGCAGATGCAAATCAAGGAGCCTTCTCAAACATTACAGTTTTGACTTAGGTGGGACTGGTTACCTCTTTCTTGGTTCCCATTTCTCCCTTTCGGAACGGGAGTGTCTAGCCCATGCCTGTCTCACCACTGTATTTTGGAAGCACAAGTTTGATTCCACGAGCTCCCCGTTAGCAGGCAATTTGCCTCTGGGTGAATCATACCTTGAGTTCCCACTCACTTCTGACTTAGCTGGCATTTACATGAACTTTGGGCTTAGCCTTTAAATGGAGAGCAGGACTATCAGGATGGAATAAATAGAATTTTCTGTGAGAAGGGCATAAAAGGGGGGTGGAGTGCTGTGGTCGGAATGTCTGTGCGCCTCACATCTCAAACTTCTCATGATGAAATCTGACCCTCAAAGTGATGCTGTTAGGAAGTGGAGCCTTTCGGGAGAAGATGACATCTTGAAGGCCGTGCCCTCGTAAGTGACACTGGTGCCTAATAAAATAAGGGAGCTTATTTGCCTCTTCTGCCATGTGAGGTCGCAGGCAGAGGCCATCTATGAGGAACAGGTCCTCGTCAGACACCTTGATCCTGGACTTCCTCCGGAACTAAGAGAAGCAATCGTCAGGGGTTTATGTGCCAGCCAAGTGGTTTTGTTGTTACAGCAGCGTAGATGGACTGAGACAGGAGGCTGTGGCTGACGCATGCACTCAAGCCTTCTTGGTGCCTGAATCACTTTGTGAAACTTGTTGAAGTATGGACATATTTTCCAATTTGCTGTCCTCCTTGTTTGGGAGTTTCTGGATCTGTTCCATTAAAAACACAAGTTAGAAATAATTTGGGGTCTGAAATGACAAGGAATGTTAGGAATCTTCTAGACAACTTTCCAAGGAGGAGATTGGATGGAAGGAAACAAAGTAAAACAGAAACACCATCAATTTTTCTCTCAGTCAGTCAGGGTGAACTCCAGGTAGAACCTGCCCCAGAAGATCCGGCTGTCCTTCCTTCAATGTTCCTGGTGATTTGATTTTAGGTTCTTGGTTCCCCACCCACCCACCCACCCCTGCCCTGGGCCTGTGCAATGCCTCAAATTCTGCTTCCAGTCATTCCTTTGGGTTAAGTGAAGCCCCTGTCATATGCTGTCTGAGAAGGCGCTAGTTGACAATACCATTCTAGAAGCAGGTTCTATCAGGCTGTCCTAGGCAGGTGCTTGAAAACGGCAACAATAGTAGCCAGTTTTGTTTTATTATGGGAAGACCCCAGATTTTAAGAAGCTGGCATAAGAAGGCACTGGGGACAAAGGTGGAGGTGGGAGCCACAGGAGACCCAGGGCCCTCACTGTACATACCCTCCCTTACAGATGGGCGCAGGTGCTCGAGAAAGATGTGTTGAAAGAGGGCTGTGGGGTGCAATATTTATTTAATTTAGCTTTTTAGTAAACACTTATATTGTGCTTACCATGTTCCAAGCACCGTTTAAGTACTTAACGAATATTAACTAGAATTGCACCAGAGTTCTGCCTTTATCAAAAGCCACTTTGAGAGCCAGCTCTGCCAGTTTCTGCCTAAGTGACCTGGGCCAGTGACTCAGGCTTTGTGGGGCTCATTTTTATCCCCTCTAGAAGGGGCACAGTAGTGAAACCACCTTATGATTATTGTAAGGAACTGTCAAGCTAAGAACCAAAAAGACAGTTTATGGACTGTAAAATGTTTTACAAATTATTAGTGGTATCAGAAGTACAGCCAGGACTGGCTCACCCTCTAGAGCAAATAATAACAATAACAACAAAAAATCATCTGATCGTACTCAGGGTTGCTACCGCCTATTATGTACTTTGTGGGCTTTGGAGTTGAATGATCAAGTCCTAGTTCCCAACCTATTAGCTGCATGACTTTAGGCAAGCTGCTCAATCTCTTGGTGACTCTGTGTTCTCCTCTGTAAAACTAGGGCTAAGAATAGATCTACTCGAGTTGCTTGAAACTTTAAAAAGATGGTGAAACTAAAGCACTTAGGACAGCAACTCAGAATAAATGCACCCTAAGTGCTACACCCCTCTGCTCTTTTAAGCCTCATGATGTTACGAAACAGGGGTTGCAATTCTCCTCATTTCTAGAGGAGAAAGCTGAGGACCTGAAAGGTCAGATACCTTGCCCAAGGCCACTGGGCATAGCAGAGCCCATTTTCCTAGACAGGTCTGTCTGCCTTGGGCATTTTTGCGGTTGCCTAAGTAAACGGTTCTCACTGTCCATCATGACACACCAGAAACACGTAAGGGAATTCTTGAGCAAAAAGGAAAAAGAATCACAAGGCTAAAAGAGAAAGAGAGGTGACAAGGACCTGACATCTCCTTAAGTTGTTGTAAAAGGGAAACAGGAGACTTTCCAATGCTAATGTTGGCAATTGGAGAGGCTCCCAGGAGCCATCAGATCCCACCTCCTGCCCCGGGGGAAGACATGGCAAAGCCTGGAAGCTTATGAACCAAACTTGTCTCCTCTTCCTCCTGGGCCAAGACCCAAGCCCGGCAATTAGATGAGACAGAGCTCCAGCCAGTGGAGTGAGAGGGGAAAGGATGTGTGCACTCCTCTCCCAGGCCTGGCTATAGTCCGCCCACCCAACTGTGACTGAGCCTGGTGACCTAAAAAGCCACAGATAGAAGAAGATGGAGCCTCAAGATGAAAGGGCCTCAAGTTTCCACCCCACCTCCCAGAGCTGAGCTGCCTACCCCTCAGAAACATCCAGCAAAAGACTTTACACAAGAAAAAATAACTTTCCACTGCAGCCAATGTAACTGGAACCAATCTGGGTGTGCGTGGATCTTCTGACTACTGGCCACCCAACTGCTGCTTAAATCCCCAGTGGTGGGAACTTGTTTCCCCTTGGAGTGCTCATTCATGCTTCCTATGTTCCATCAAAGGCATTTATTGAGTCCTTACTATGTACCAGGCACTGTGCTAGGCTCTGGGGGCACAAGAATAAGCAAGACACCAAAGCCTCTGCGCCAGCATGAAGCTCGTCACCCAGACCTGCAAATAGAAAATAAACAAGGAGGCAGGCAGTAAGCACGATATTTATAGACTTTGATAAGCAATTTGCAAGAAAGAAGCAGATGGACAAGACAGAATACCTGGGAGAAGGATCCGCCACAGATAGGAGCAGGGGGAGAGTGGATTGGAGCTGGCTATGAAGAGGTGACCAATACCCAAGACCCCATGGCCGACAGCCCTGGTTGCTGATTTGTTTATTTACTTGCTTGCTTAGATTAGCAAGAAAATGTGTCTCCTTTCACTCTCTTCCTTGGTCCCAATGACATATTCTAGGGTCCCAGAAAAGTCTACTATCTCCCTTTCTCAATGACAGCTTCCCCCCAAAAGTCCAGCATTTCCACACAGTGGCCACGGCTCTTCTGTCACCCAGAGCCCCTCTTCCCCGGCTCCCTCAAGCAGCAGCCCCCCCCCCCAGAATTCAAGGCCCAGACACTGGCAAGTGGCCTGTGACAAGGACTCAAGCAAGTAGGGGGGGCACCAGAGACCCCAGGCTTTGTGGACCTTGCTGACGTTCCTCCCCTACCCCACGTTGCTTTTTAATTTCCCCAGGGCCACTTGCTAACTGCTGGCTCCTGTCAGGCATTTATTCTCTGACACTGGGAGGGAACAGGCAGGGCTAGAAGCCGTCAAGGGCTCCTGCTGGAAGCCTTCTCTCCTCTTTGTCTTGAAAATAATTTATTTTTTTTTTTGATGTTAAAACCATGTCCCTTCCCCCCCTAGTTGGAACACCAAAACAAACCCAGCTGTCCCTGACGCTAGGCCTGAACCACAGGCGTTTGGCAGGAGAGCCAGAGAGACCGCAAGAGGAGCCGCTCAGATCTTGTTCCTCCAGATTCCTGCTAAGCTCCACTCGGGAGGCAAGGAGGCCTTGTTCCTCTGAGGCCCAGCCTCCCCCTTGTCAAAATCAACTGGGATGGCAGCTCAAGGGCAAGAAGCCGGCCCTCCTGAGGGGACTCACAGGAGGCAGATCCCCGTGCTGCACTTCTGGACCTCTGAGGTAGCTGATGCCCCGTGCCCTGACCATCCCAAAGGGTCCCCCGCAGCTCTGGGGCCTTGTGCCCAGTCAGGAGGGGCAAGGCCCTGTGGCCAGGCATGGCATGAACAACGGTTTGCCTTGCTTGGATGGGAGATAAAAGCAACTGCTGTTCCTCGCTTTCTTGTGAAAATGAGGTGACTCGGGGCAGGACTGAGTCAAGGCTTCTGAAGGAGTGGCCATGTCAGAGAAACAAACAGTGGGCCATGAGCCCGGGGCACACTGTGCCGGTCCCTCCAAGGCAGGGAAGTTGGTGCAGGGTCATGCAATCTCCCACACTGGTCTTTGGTGGTCTTCCTGCCACTGCATATCCACTTTCCAGGTTTTCTCCATCCACCCTGATCTATAGCTGTGATCTCCCTGACTCACACCTGGTCGGTTCCCTCCCCTAACCACCTCCACACTCTGGGCCAGGTGAGGGGAAAGCTAGTGAGGCACCCAGGTGGCAAAACTTCAGGAAGTGCTCACTCTCCAGGTCATGCAAGTTCAGAGTCTTCCCAGAGTCTATACCCCTTCAGTTTTGCACCCAGCTCATTGGCCTTACCTTTCATTGCAATCCTTTCATTTCTTCTATCCCATCCCCAGGCCCAAAATGCCCTTGGAAAGAATCTACAGATGTCTCCCATGCTCTTGTGTCAAAGATCCAATTCAGTTTGCAGAGGCTTGGAGGTTTCGTTCGTTTGTTTTTGTTTTGGCCCGAGGATGCTTTAATTTTTTGAAATTGATTGTCAGTGTTTAAAAGTCACAAGAATTTTAAAGAAGATCGCATATCTGACTTCTCTTGAACCCCAAAGATACGGCCTCTCTGTGGTGGAGAAGAGCAATGGCTGCCCCCTCTGACCCTTGGGGACATGGCCTATGTCTCCCAGTCCTCACTGCCTCTCTTGTGACAAAATGCATCATTGATATCCCCTGCTAGGCTTCTACAGGCTCTTGAGATTGCAACTTTCCGTCTCCAGACAGATTACGTCCAAAGGCAAAATAATCCATCCCAGTGGTGCAATGTCTGGTCCCAGAGACAGGTCAAGGTGGGAGACCAGAGTGGGTAGGTGGAGGAAGAGCTGTTGCTTTTCTAATCTCCTTGAAATCAAGCCACAGAAGCAGATCCCCACCCCATAGCCAGGGAGCATAAAGGATTTTAAAAATTCAGTTTGCAGGCGGCAGGACAAGTAATCCTGGGACAAAACACCCACAGCCCAGGTTCAGAAGGGCTCACGGGTGTCCCACATTGGTCCCTGACTGCCTCGTGGCCTTGAATTACAACTCCCCAGAAGTCTCAGGTCCTCATTTCTCAGTAAAGAGAGTCGGCGTGGGTTGCTTCCCTCCCAGCTCTAACCGTCTTGGATTTAATGCTTACTATTCTTAGGTGGAACTATTCTAGTAAAAGAGATTCTCAGAACATTGTTCAGGCCTAGCTCAGAAGAGCCATTGAGTCAAGAGCAGAAATTACATTTCATTGATAGCACGGAATTTTGCGATTTTTGTGGCTTCCGGCTTATCCTGTCATAATCTCTTTGGTTCTGCTGAGAATGTTCCTGTCGAGGAGCCAGACAATAGCTTGACTCAACAGTCTCTCTCGCCTTCGCAGCCGCTCATCTCCTTGAGAATCCAGTAGGAGTGAATTCTAGTTTTCTAAAGACTGCGTCACCACGCTACGAGGACAGAGCAGGAGAGAGCCCCCTGTCCAGGCAGGCGGTGGCCATCAGAATGGAATGCAATGCCACAGGTCCCCAACTACTATGTCCACAGCACTCTGTGCAATGTAGGTAGCAAGAGAGAGGGGACAGGAAAGGAGGTTGCTGGAGAGCAGGGAGGTTCACACAGCACTCACAGGAGCCAAACACAGGACAAAGCAAAGGAAGGAGGTACACAGGTGTGGGGAGGTGGGATTAAGCTGGGAGGGATGAATGGATGGGGTGTTCAACAGGTGAGAAGGAGCAGGAAGAGACTGCCTTCAGCCATTCATCCACCACCAGGAGGAAAGCTTCTACTTCCTGCCATTGCCCTGGGCCCTGGGATGTAGGAGTTAAGGAGACAGACCAGAGCCCTGCTCTCCTGGCACGTCCTTTTTACTAAGGGATGTAGCCAAGTACATAAATAACCTTAAGTGCTATGAAGAATATAAAATGATGGTTATCATAGGTAACGATTATAAGATGGACCAGGAATACCTCTCTGAGGAGACTCCATTTGAGCTGAGATATGATATGAAGAAGAACATTATAGGAAGGGGAAAGAGCAAGAACAAAGGGCCTGGGACAGACATTTCAAAAGTATGCAGTAATGTTGTAGGACAGAGAATGAAGAGGAAGTTGAAAGGTGAGGTGGGAACAAATCATTTGGGGTCTCAGGTCAGAATAAGAAGTTTGAATGTAACTCACTTAGGCACGGGAAGCCAATGGACATAAGCCAGTTTGTACTTTTAAAAGACACTCTAGCTATTGTACAAGGACTCAAAGCAGCAAAAATAAATAAATAAATAAAAATACACAGGGGAGGTTGTTACTCTGCTCAAACTGCCATAAGAATATGCCATCGACTGACTGAGCAGCTTCAACAACAGAAATTTACCCCTTTCATTTCCAGAGGCTGGAAATCCAAGATCAAGGTGTTGGTCAGTCGGGGGCCTGTGGGGGCTCTCTTCCTGGTTTGCAGAAGGAGCCTTCTCACTATATCCTCACAAGGCCTGACTATGTGCATGCAGAGGAGAGAAAGAGATCTGAATTGGGGGTGGGAGACAGGGGCATAATTCAGTCCCTAGCAGAGAGCAATAAGGAGATTAATGAGGGATCTGGAGGAATGGGGTGGTAAAACAGACTTTCACCCTGGGGTGGGATTTCTGGCTCACATGTCCATGTTTACAACCTGTTTTTGCCCTTTGGATGCTCCCGTCACTGGTGAAATGGAAGAGAAAAACCACTTATTCCTTGTTTCTAGAATAATTAGTGTGGGTCTCCACCCGGAGACAGACATTTTGGACCTTTGCCAGAAAGACACACTGTGCTGATTCACTGCATCTCTTTCAAAGGATCTTGATCTCACTGTGGCATCTCCTGTGGGAAATAGCAGTGGCCAGTAGCTCTAGCGCAAAGATAAGGGGTCCCAGCCCAGCACACCCAAAAAAGGCACAGGCCTGCGTGTTAAGTGTCACACCTTGGCTGAAGTCAGCTGCCGTCCCTTTCGTCCTCCCTGTTAAACTGGTATTGAGTCTTCTCTCCCTGCGAATTGAGCAGTCTGCCACCACAAAGCTCAGGAGGAAGCTTTTCTTATTTTTAAAACCAAGACTGGATCCCTGTCTTTAAGACTAGATGGAAACCCTCTAGATCATTTTAAAATTGCCAAATTAATTTGATATTCCATCTTCCTATCATAGCATGACAAACTGTCTTCACACAGTGGCTTAAGACAGACGTTTTATCTTAATCACAGTTTTTGTCCATCAGGACCTGATGAAAGGCACTACGGGACAGTTCTTGCTCAGGGCCTCTCTTATGTAGCAGTCAGATGTTGGCTGGGGACACCGTTGTCTGAAGGGTTGACTGAGCTGGACATCCATGGTGGCTCCTCCCGTGGCTGGCATTTTAGATCAGCTGACAGCTGGGAGCTCAGCTACGCTGTCCATTAGGGAGCCCTAAGACATGGTGTCTCCACTGTACGGTCTCAGGAAAGTCAGGTTTCTCCCAAAAGAGCTCCCTAGCATGAGAATTCCCAAAGGATCCAGGTGGCAGCTGCATGCTGTGTGGACCTGCTGCAGCCCTGGGAACCAGACAGTCATTTCCATCATCTGTATTGGCCAACAGCATCTCAAGCCTGTGTGGTTCACTTGAGGAGAATCTAGATCTGAATGATCAGAGCCAAAGGATGTAGCATCAGACTCCGTCCCTTGACAGGAAGGCGTCAAAAATCACCTTTCAGGGGCTGGGGATGTGGCTCAAGCGGTAGCGCGCTCAAGCGGTAGCCCTGGCGTGCGTGTGGCCCAGGTTCGATCCTCCAGCACCACATACAAACAAAGATGTTGTATCCGCCAATAACTAATAAATAAATAAATATTTTTTTTAAAAATCACCTTTCAGAAGAGCACATGGGATGGCAATATTGTAGTGTGGCCATTTTTGGAAAATACAAGCCATCACAGCTGGTAATCAAGATTTTAGAAAATCCCCAGATGTTTGGTTTCATGTACAGCAGGATTTCTCAACCTTGGTACTTTTTTCTTCCCATTTTTTTATTGGTGCATTATAGTTACGGTGGGATTCGTTGTTACATAATCCTACGTGCACACCCTTTCCCCAGTGTATCCCCTTCCCATTCTTCCCTCCCTCCCTGCCCCGTCCCTTTCTACTCTACTGACATCCCTTCCTTTCTCATGAGATCCCCCCCACCTCACTCCTCCTTTTTCCTCTCCAGCTTCCACCTATGAGAGAAAACATATGACCCTTGACATTCTGTGTGGGCTTATTTCACTTACCATAATGTTCTCAAGTTCCATCCACTTTCCTGCAAATTATGACCTTTTATTCTTCTTTATGGCTAAATAAAACTCCATCATGGATATATAGCACATTTTCTCTATCCATCCATCCATTGACAGACACCTACCTACATTGGCTCCATAGTTTGGCTATTGTGAATTGTGCTGCATAACCAGAATGGGTATCCATGCATCACTGTTGTACACTGACTTTAATTCTTGAGGATAAATTTGGAGTGGTCTAGCTGGGTCACGTGGTGGTTCCATGCCTAGTCTTTTGAGGAACCTCCTTGCTGATTTCCACGGATCAGCCCAGCACCTTTGGCATTTGGGATTGAATCCCTTTTGGTGTAAAGCACTATCCCATGCATTGCAGGACATTCAGTAGCATCCCTGTCCTCTACCTGCCAGATGCCAATTGGGATCCCTCCAAATTTCTGCAGTCAAAATTGTCTCCAGACATTGTTCCTTGCCAAATGTCCATAGAGAACAAAAGTGCCCTCAGTTGAGAATCACTGATGTAGACCCTACTACAGCCAGCACCACAAGGCTTCTGGTGCTACTGTGGGTCTTTCTTAACCCAAGAATTTTACATCCCCAAATGGTTTTAGCCACCAAGTCAGGGGGAGCATTAATTGGTTCCCAATGGAGAAAACACAAATAGCCTCTTGAAGATGGTTTAATCACATTTTCTATGGTCAGTCTGCTTCTAGAGCCCCTTGTTCTCTGCCTGAGTGGGAGCAGTGCAGTGGTAGATATTTCATGCCAGAGATAGTCATTCCCAGACAAAGGGCCACCATTCTGGTAGCTCCAATTGCTCTTTTTTAATGCTGTGACCAGCTCCCTGAAATCCTGACTCGAGATAGACACGGCATCATCAGGAATGTGGATGGAGCACCTACAGTGTCACACTGAGCCAGTCTCCCCCTGCCACAAGTACAGTCACACGGGGGAACTAACTGCAGTTTCTGGGTATGGCTAGAGGGTGGGCTCACATGGGACCCAGTAAGGGACAGGCTGTAGAGGTAGTCTAAGACCACATCTTCAAGATCCTTGAAAGTCAGGCTAAGAGATTTCAACCTCATCCCATAAATTATAGGCAAAAAATAAGACACTACTGAAGACTTTCAAGCATGGAAAAGCCACTGTCAGATCTGTGCTGGGGGAAAGACAGGAAATCAATGCTGCTACAGGAGAAGAGTAAGAGCCCGGGAGCTCCGCCATCTTCTTCAATACCTCAGGGGCTTTGGGGCCAGGATCCACCCTCCGTCTGGCTGACCTCCTGAACCTGAACTTCATCCCTGGCCCATTTCTTCACCATTTGGCGCAACTCAGCATGAGGAGCACATGAGTGAGAGCCAGGAGCCTCCTTGGGGAAACAAGCCCTATCCAGCCGTTGCTCAAGATGGACTCCTGCCCCCACAGGGCCGCAGCCCTGGCCTCTGAAGGGAGTGGGAGATGAACCTGCCTCAGTGCGGCTCAGAAAACACAGCCTGACTTGGCAGCACTTGAGAGAGAGTATTTTGGAAACTTCATACCAGATTTTGTTTTGTTTTGTTCACAGGTCCTTAAAGTAAGCTACAGAAATCACCTCGGAGGGCTTGGTTTCCAGCTCCCACAGGCTGCCAAGAGCTTCTCCTGGCCCATTTCCCTGACCAGCACCATCCCCACCCCCAACCAGGGCAATTGCTTTCTTTCCAAATTTGCATCTCAACAGAGGATGGCCCCTGTTGCCCCAGGTACCTCTGGGCAAAGAGCAAGGTGGCCAGAGGCTGCAGATAACCACCACCCCCACACAGTACCTGTGACTCGCTCAGTGACTCCCACTCACTGGCACCAATATCCTTTCACCCTACAGTATTAAGACAACCTCACAGTCTGTCATGAATTAATTTCATGATCCTGGAAAAAAGATCCTTCAACCCTTTGGGTCTCAGTTTTCTCACCAATAAAAATGGGTCTTCTCTGCCTATTTTAGAGTCAGTGTGGAGATTCCGTCAGCTTGTGGCTCTCTGGGGCCTCAGGAACCTGGCACGGGTGTAATCCAAAGATCTCATTATGACTGTGTTGAAGGGATTCACAGTCAGGTAACTCAAGTCCTGCCTTGAGGACAGTGAGCACACCCAGGAGATCCCCACAAATAGGCTCAAGCAACAGGTGTCAGCACCCGGGGGGGGGGCAGACGGATACTGGCCAACTGGCAAAGCTCACTCCTGACCCTTTCCACAGAGAGAGGTCACAGTCCACATCCCAGAAGTCCAGCACAAGAAAACAGCCCAACCCAGACACAAGGGATCGTGAACATGAAGGGGCTCTGTTTGTTTTTAAAAGACGAGCCTCCCAGATCTGTTCACTGCTGAGGAGAGGAGAGGAGGGAGGAGGGATATTGGTCCAAGAAACGGGTGGAGAAGTTCCTTGTTCCTAGCTGTTAAGCAGAAGCATGGTCAACCCAGGGAGAGGCCAGTGGCTTTCCCACTGGGCAGGTTGTCAGGTGCTCTGTCGAAGTCTCAGATGGAGATAGAAGCAACAAGGTTTGTGCCACACAGCTGTATTTTGCCCTGGGGCCGCCATGACAAAGGACCACAAACAGGTGGCTACAAGGAGGGGACTTGATTATCTTACCGTTCTGGAGGCTCCAAGTCCAGACCAAGGTGATGGCTGGGCCATGCTGCCCTTAAAGACTGTAGGGGTAAGATACTTCCCTGTCCCTTCCAGTTTCTGGGGGGTCCCAGACAGTCATTGGCTGATGGCATCGTGACTCCAATCTGCCTCCTGTCTCCCTCTGCACCTGTCTGTCTATGCCTCCACATTTCCCTGCTTGTGAGGCCATTTTGGATTAGGGCCCACACTAATGACCTCATTTTAACTTGATTACCTCCATGAAGGTCCCACTTCCAAGTAAGGCCACATTTTCGGGTACTAGGGGCTTAGAATTTCAACATATCTTTGTGGGGCAAAGTCAATTCAAATTGTAACACTTGCTCTCCTCATACTGTGTAGTGGGGGGAAAAATGGAGATTCAAAAGATTTGCATTTGAGTCCCAATAACCAGCCACTGGGTTTTTGTTTTGACAAGTGATTTTGAACATTCTGCCTCTTCTTGCTTACTTGGGGAAAAGATTAATGAGATTATAGAGATCACCAAATTGATAGCTGGATGTGGCCTCTGAGATCATCCTGTGTTTCCTAAAGTGTGCTCACAGGAACATGAATCCTATGCAGTCACTTTGGGATGAAAGGGAGGGCTGGTTCTGGGAGTCCCCCTCAGAGAGGCTCCGAGCACATCCATGGGGTGAAGACCCTGAGAGGTCCTTCAGTGAGGACTGCCCGGCACCCCCAAACTCATTTTACCATGGAGCCCTGTTATTTGAAGGACCCTCACTAATGCTCTCCTGATCAGCAAGCCACACTTGGAAGATGTTCAGATTTATCCCTTTAGCACACATTAGAAAACCTGCACTTAGATCTTCTCCCACATGAACTGTCTGCTCCCAGATTCTTACGTCAAGCTCAGCTCCTTGGGGAACCCACATTGAGGGAGATCTTTGTTCTCCAGGATGAAAACAGCTTTACTGTTATTTTTAAATATTTAAAAATCATTTTTTACACGATGTACTGGCTGGTAAATTTTTAAACAACACAGAAAAGAATGAGATACGTAAGTAAAAGGCACCTTAAATTTTCTCACACTCATATAATCGGCCAACGTAAGAGTACTTCTTTATTACTTGATTACGCCTTCCACTCGGTGTGTGTGCCTGTGAGTGTGTGTGTGTGTGTGTGTGTGTGTGTGTGTGTGTGTAATTTGAACATTAGGCAAGAGGACTAAATCAGTGGATTTTAACTTTTAGAAAATTTGATAGCTTCAAACAGAGTATCAAAAGATACAAATGAATTCTTTCTTCCCTGGGCAGTAAGTGTCCATACATTGCCAACCTTCTTACTTATACCCTTTTTCTATTTCTGTCAATTAAGTATCTTTGATGAGAGCATAGTCTACTTGATTTGGGGATCTTGTGTCTGTTTCAAGTATCTGCATGATTCTCCTCTCAATCAGTTGGTCTTAATTGTAAAGTGCAAGGATCTTAGCCTGTGTGGTGACTTACAAAGGACAGAGGTTCATTTCCTAAAGTTCTGGAAGCTCATAAGGCCCAGGTCAAGGGACCCATGTCTGGTGAGGGCCTTCTTGCTCCAGCCTTCCATGACAGAAAGTCAATTGCCCCTTTTGATTGCACAAGGAGGTGATGGGGTTTAGGAACTAGGATAGGAGCTACATTCAGGGTTGTTGCTCGACTATTAGGCAATCCCTTTTGCCTCCTTGTACCCCAGATCCTCCTTATCCTGTTAAGGAGAAAGTGTCTATGAAAGAGCCTGAAACTTGATAATACTGAAGGCACACCAGGTACACACAATATTATATTGGATGCTACTGTTTCCAGGAAATTAAATTAACCCTCTTATCTACCCCAGGAGGCAGGGAATGTAATGAGGTTTTGAGAGGTTTAAGTGACTCCCCTCAGGTCTCCCAGCTGGGAGCAACTGAAAAGCCAGAATCTGAACCCAGATCTGCCTGACCCTTGGTACCACCACGGCTCCGGGATTCCTGACACCCACGTTGTAGACGTATCAAGCCTGTTTTCTGGATTCTCTGCTCCTGTTCATCCTTTGGTGATTTGTGTAATAGCTCAAGCCCTGTGTGTTCACCTCTCCAAGGCAAAGCCCAACCAAACCGCGGCCTCCCATGTAGCTTCCATGAAGGTGAATGTCCAGGGTCCTGGCAATGAGACCACTCCAAGGAGACTTGATTCCAAAGACAGCCACTGAAGTAAAGAGGCTTTCCAAGGGGTATGTTTTTTTGGCAAGGATGGTGGCAACAGGTCTGACTTCAGGTGACGGTGTTGGCAAGGGTGAGATCTCGGCCCAGCAGCTGTTCCTTCCAGGGCTTGGTGAGACAACAGCAGGGTGGCGACCCCTTCCATTAGTCCCTTCTTTGGAGTGATATTTTCATTGTTCTGGAAGCCTCGCTTCAAACCTAGGTCTTCATTTCTCCTGACAATGCTGAGAGCTTCCAGGACCAGAGATTTCTTTGGTACCAGAGATTGAACACAGGGACCTTTAAGCACTGAGCCACATCCCCAGCCCTTTTCATTTTTTTTATTTTGCAATAGGGCCTCACTAAATTGCTGAGTTGGGCCTCTAACTTGTGATCCTCCTGCCCCAGCCTCTCCAGATGCTGGGCTTACAGGTGTGTACCACCACACCCAGCTCCAGTATCTTTTTTTGTTTGTTTGTTTTAATTGTAGTGGACACAATACCTTTATTTTATTTTTCTGTGGTGCTGAGGATTGAACTCAGCACCCTATACGTGCTAGGTGAGCACTCTACTGCTGAGCCACAACCCCATCCTCCCCCCTCCCTGCTCTAGTATCTTTTTGATGAACTCTTTTTTCTGTCCAATCAACTGGAGTCAGCTTCTGCTGCTTGTGCCCAGGAACCCTAACTGCTAGTGTGTGCAGTAGGGATACCTCTCACTATACAAAGCTAGGGCTTCTGTGTGTCTACAGACCACAAATAATAACCAGTCCATTCCTGATCAGTTTCACCAATATACACAAGTGCAGTAAGATCCCAAAGCAAACTTTTGACCATAGTTGTACAAATCAGTTTAAGCTATTCTGATCATATTACCCTCAATGGCCAAATTTCCAGTTTAGCATTGTATTTTGTCCGGGTATCAGAAACCAAAAGGAAACTAGATCTTCTTATGTGAGTTCCTTCTCAAAGAAGCTGAATTGAAAAATCATCCTTACCCTTTAATCCAGTGGTTCTCAATATCAGCGGTCTCAGAATAGCCTTACACTCTTCCAAATATTGAAGACTTAAACTGCTTTTGTCTGAGTGGGTTCTATCTGTTCCTAACGAGAGGGTTGGCATTGTGTGACATTTCTGCAAACCTCTTGCCCGTCTGACCTACAGAGGACAGCAGATGCTCAGAAGGGCTTCTGCATTCAGCCTATTGTGTGTCTCATACCACGAAGCCTCTACAACACTCTGCCATCCACTGGTGGAGAATGAGGATAAAGGGCAAATATCATTTTATTGTTATATAAAAATAGCTTTGACCTCACAAACCTGCCGAAAAGATCTCCCCAGTCTATACTTTGAGAACAGCTGCTCTAATCTCTCCTCTGTTTCATGCCTTATATATTAAAGTTCAAATTCAGGATGCAACTGATTCACAGGATAGGTCACTTTTACATCTTTAGGGTCAGCTTAATGATGTGGCCCTGTCCTTCAGAATTCTTCTTTCCACTGGATCCCAGTCTCTCTATGTTGAAGCATAACTGATTAGAAAAAGTTTTGTTCCAGAATTCAGAGAGCCTTGTTCTGTCCCTGGTGGGCTATGTGACCCTAGACAGACATATCGGGGACCTTGAACAGGTCCATTGTCCCCTCGGGATCCTAGCCCTATGGTTGGCAAACATATGCACTTATTGCACACAATATTTGAAGATAAAATTGGATGGGAGAGATGAAAATGCCTATAGCACATACATATAATAAACCATTATCCCATTCTTTCAAATGACTGTATTGCTTGGGATACTTTGGGTTGCTAGCAACTGAAAATCTAGCTCAAGTAGGATTAAAATTATTGGCTTATTTAACTGAAAGGTTCAGAGGTGGTTCAGATCTATGATTGAGAGGTTCCTGATAGAGTCTGGAGATTCTTGTTTTCTGCCATATTCTCAACTCTATAGCTTTAGTCTCAGTTTTCCCCTCTGCCACTGACAATAATGGTCACAGAGCTTCCAATCCCACCTTATTATGCCACACTGCTCAGATAAGAGACAGCCTCAACTCCAAATTTTTTTTTTTTTGGTACCAAAAATTGAACCTAGAGGCTTTTAACCACTGAGCCACATCCCCGACCCTTTTTATTTTTTTATTTTAAGACTGTGTCTCATTGAG